GCATTCGACCTAATATAGATTGGATTGTGATTTTTTCAATCCGATCCAATCATATTAGATGTTTAAATCCAATCCAATCCGATCTAATTGATATTAAATTGGATTGGATTGGATGATCGGTTTTTATAATAGAAAAAATACAATAATGAAATATTAAACATTTATCCTTATGTTTAATATAATCAAACATATTAATAGACATAAATGTAAAATATAAATGAAATATTAGAGAAAATTGTTTTGATTATATAATATATTAAACATAACTCCATTAAATGACTTAAAATATTCATAACATTTTCAACAACAAATACCTATAAGAGCAAAATAAGCATAAAACTAACTAGATTGGATTCGATTGGGTTCTCATAAGCAAATCCGTTATCCAATCCAATCATGTCGGTTTTGACAATTATGGATCCAATCCAATCTGCCAAATTTTCGAAACCGATTAAAATTGGATTGGATTGGATCTTGTACACCCTTATCTTCTGGGATTTTGATTTTTCATAAGATTGGGGATGAGGAGGGCCAAATTGGACATATTCGACACCTTCTACTCTCTAACCAAGCAAATATTGGTTTAGATTTTGAAAGCTATTGGACTTACGTACGGTTAGCCACAATGGAAATCGCCTTTGTGTTCAAAACTAGATTCAGTATCATCACTCAAGACCCTTGTCTTGATCTAGGCTACAAAGCAAGAAAAAAAAAATCTCATGTGAAATCTAATGGGTTAGGTTGGGATTTGAGATAGGGTTTGGTATTTATACCTCATACTAAAAAGTCCCACACAATTTCAAATGTAAAAACAATCCTTCAAAATTAGCAAGTTTTTGAAAACCATAAAACTTGTTGTTACTTGTCTAATGTCTTGATTGAATACCACTAGATTTAGCAACTCTCTTTTAAAAATCTTAATAGTCTTAATGGAATACCACAAGATTTGTTTAGATTAGTTAAAAGTCTTGATTGAATACCACATAACTTATTTAGTCCAAAATAATCTTTTAAAATTCTAATTGAATACACCCCTAAGAGCATCTCCAACCGATGTGTCAAAAGTGTCACATAGACATTTAACGGCTAGAAATAACATCTCACATCACTCCAACCGATGTGTCAAAGCTGGTGTAGCATGAAGGCTGGAGGTTGAGATGTTATTTTTGACATTCCAAAAACAAGATGTCAAATGAATATTTTATTATTTTATTATTTTATTATTTATTTTCTTTTTAATTAAAAATAAATCAACACTAAAATGTAATAAAATAATAATTTAATTTGACATATAGGATAAAGTGTAAAGCTGTGTAAGAGCATCTTCAACCGAAATGTCAATTCCAACGTGGCAAGTTTTAACCCCAAAAAAAGACATTTTAAGCCTTCCAACCGTGATGCCAAATCCTAACTGGATTGACGTCCTTCACTTTTGCTGTAAAAAATGACAGCCCACATGTTGAGACATCTTTTACTTTTTTTTATTTATTATTTTAATGCTGAGCCCGCCTCCTTCTCTCCTCTTCCATGTACAGTTTTTAACCCTATTCAATATTTTACTCTTAAATACTGAGCCCACTTGACTTTAAAAATAATAAAATAAAATGTATATTTGACATCTCGGTTGGATAAAGAGTTTTACAATATGTTAAATTGCCATATCAACCATCAAATTTAAATTTGATGTTTGGTATTTGATATTTTCTTTGGAGATGCTCTAAGATGCATGTGTAAAAACTCTCTCAAGTCTCTCAAATCCAGACATGGATTGTGGACCAAAAACATAACATCTCTCAAGTCTTCTTACAAAACTCGTTTGTCTCACTTTGTCTCTTGGCCCCTACTAAAAGCCCGAAAAAGCCCAAAACCAATAAAACGCGTATAATTACACGTTTACACGTCTCTGTCAAGTCTTTCTCCGACCTCCGACTAGAACAACAACGACAGCGTTCTCTGAGCGCATGCCACGGAGCGCAAGCCAAACCCGGTGGCTCACCGAACTTCCCATTTGCAGCGATCGGGTCGTCGGATCCGCTTGACCCGTTTCAAAACTGCGTCTTTTTTAGATAGACCGAGAGATGTGGGTCTTCTACCTGATCTCGTTGCCCCTGACCTTGGGCATGGTCCTTTTTACGCTCAAGTACTTCGCAGGCCCGGAGGTCCCTCGCTATGTTATGCTTACCGTTGGGTACACCTGGTTCTGTTCTCTCTCCATCATCGTCATTGTGCCCGCTGACATCTGGACGGTACTTTTCATTTTCAATTTCAACAATTTTTGCCATTTCATTCAGATTATGGTTGTGTGAATTTGATTCGATTAGGGTTTTGTTTTGTTTTGAATTAAAAAAGGTTTTAAACAATGTAATCTGTTTCAGTTTCTCCTTCGTGGGTGCATTGTTAGAAACTTTTGCAACTGGTTGTTTACTTCTACCGGGACATTTTCGCTGCTGCTCAGTTGTGCCCACCAAAGTTTTTTTGGGATTTTGTGATAATGCAAAACCACTTTTATTTGCGATTTGGGTAGCTGATTTTATTTCAGTTAAAAATTGTATCATTGGGTTCGAACAAGAAAGTAAGACGAAAATGGACTTAAATTTTATGTTAATGGCATGCATCTAATCTCTTAACATTGAAATAATGTAATGCTCTGTTTATATGGCATAAAAGAACAACTAGTTTCATTGATTGGACGCAGTATGACAATTGTTTGTTTGACGTACCAATTCCATGTTTATCAGCTGTAAGACTATCTGTTATGTTTATTTACTAGCTCCAGTTGTTATGTTCATAATCATTTGTCCATACAACAATTATTGGTTTCACGATTGTTGCCGATTCTTTTCTTTTATTACATTTGCAGACGATAAATCATATTGAGAATGGAGGAATCTCATTCTTTTGGAGCTGGTCATACTGGAGTACATTTTTACTAACTTGGTAAGCAACATGGAACTTCATGGACTCTTTTAGTTGCCCCTTCTATATTTGTATATAGCTGCGTCACATGAATGTCAAGATTTCCAGTTATTATATCATCCGACTGTAATCATCCTCTATCTTAGTTTGGTAATTAACATTACCTTCAAGGCCCTTATTTTTAGCCATTGGAGTCATGTATTATGCATGCAATTGCTCAACAAAATTTGGTCGAATAAGTTCCATTGAATGACTTTTCTGTGTTTAATTGTTCTATCCATCCTGACTGGTGTTTTTCTATTTGAGAAGATATTTATATATAAAATAGGAATCTTAGAGAACATTATACCGTTTTGTTGAGTTTGTTTAATGAGTTTTGAAGTATTAATTCTGCACCATTTCTAAGTTTTTAGCTGTGAAATGATGATTATATGTTTATCTGCCCTTTCCAATTTACCGTTGATTTGATATAAAATTAATGTGGTGTAGATATAAATGGGTTTACAGCTAACTTGTAAATCTTCTCCTCATATTTCTAAGTTATCTCTAAGCAGGACTGTGGTGCCCCTTATTCAGGGTTTTGAAGATGCTGGAGACTTCACTGTGACAGAGAGATTGAAGACTAGTGTACATGTTAACTTACTTTTCTATCTAATTCTGGGAGCTATTGGCCTTTTTGGACTGGTTCTTCTCATCATGATGCACAAGAATTGGTTTGTTCCTTCTCTTGCAAAGATGATTTATATTGATGTGGATATTAGTATCTTCTTAGGTTTGCCTTCAAGGAGTCCAGAGATATTACATAAGTTGTTAAATTCTTATTTTGAGTGGCACTGCCTCCCTATTATGCGATAAAGATTTGATTGTAAACAGTGGATGCTGCATAATAAAAGCAATTGGATGTGGTCGCAGTCTAACGTAAGAACACACTTTGGACTGACACATTCAAGACATGTCCATGAAATAATCATTTCTTGCTACAATAGATGAAATTGAAAAGGAATCAATATGTAGTGCATTTAGATGTGAAAAAGGTCTTGAGAGTATCTCACAAAGATGGAAGTCTAACATGAGAGCTTAAAGGATTTTGGGCCTCCCCACCAATTGCCAATTGGCTTTAGGTTGGATGCTTACATCACTGTTTAAGTATGAGCACAGTAGAGAAGGCTAGGAAGATGATATATCACTACCAGTCTAACAGGGGCTCATTCTTTTTACTTTATGTTTTTCCCTGGCTATTGAGCTATTCTATTCATTCCTCATTTTTATTCCTTCATTTTTTTTTTTTGCTTAAATAACAGGGGTGGAGGTGTTCTAGGATTTGCCATGGGCTGCTCGAATACTTTTGGACTTGTTACAGGTGCATTTCTTCTTGGATTTGGTTTGAGTGAAATCCCTAAGGGCCTTTGGAAAAATTCAGATTGGACTATCCGCCAAAAAGTTCTTTCTCATAAAATTGCCAAAATGGCTGTGAAACTTGATGACGCTCATCAAGATCTTTCAAATGCTATTGTGGTAAGTATTCTCTTTCAATTTCCAATTTTAAGATATCCATGTTTTGTTTTCTAAGGTGCACAAAATTTCTGTGTCTGCATGTCCATTCTGAAATTCTGATTGGTGTTTCATTGTTTGTTTATCTTGTTGTAACTTGGATCTAAGTATGATGGTTGGCATTTTTTGGGCCAACCTGCCAAATCTGATTGGCCGACCTGACCCAGTTGCCTGGTTTTCTTTCCATTTTTGGATGAAATCGAGTCAATTCCATTTCAACCTGATAAAACAGGTTCAGTGTTGTTTTAAATACTTCTTGACCCGAAAATTCCAACTCCACCCAATTTGAATGAAGTTGTAAAATTTTGAGGTGTTCGTATTTGGTCAGTATTTGAATCAATCACCATGTGTTGCATTAACACAAATGCTTCAACCATTGTGCTAAACTTTCATTTTCTAATAATATTGTACATAATGCGAATGACCAAATTCAAATAATCTTTTTGAATTTTTTCCAAAGCTGACTTGGCCAAGTGCTTGCCCTCTTGTTTTTCCTTGCAGCAGACTGTAGCATTTCATTTTTCCATTCATTCTACCTTGATTAATCACTCCCATAATCATCCAAATAACATAAGATGCAACGAATTAAAATAATTGCCTGGAATGAAACTTGTGTGGCAAACACAGTGATCCATCTTTTATACCTGTGATCTTGAAGTAGACTGAGATAAGAGAGCACACAAAGCTATAAAGATTGGTGCCCAGGATTTTTTTTTTCTCGAAACGAGGAAAAGAAAGAGATATCAATGTATCAGTCCAATCAATATGACTTGTGTGATGTGACATGTTTAATCTATTGAAAAGATTGATAAGAAAATGACTGCAAGTTGTCTTTATCTCTGTAACTTCGTTTCTGCCTTAAGGAACCTACTGAGACGAGAGACGTTTGGGCTGGGAAGGTGGTAAGAAAGGCAGAACTGGTCCTCTGTAACTTTGCTTACGCTCAAACTTTCCCTTTGCCGAACTATTCTTTTCTTCTCCTGGGATATCTTGTTCTCATTTTTTGAATGCCAAATTTTACAAGCAGAAATCACAGCACCTAAAAAACGAAGACTCGACCTTTTATTTTCTCGATCAATGTCGTGCAAATCTCTCTCAAAGGCTCTCAGTTCTAGAAAATTGGCTTGAGCTTGTGTTTGCCATGCATTTTTTTCAGGCCTACTAAGTTTGTAATATTTTGGGCCATTTAGAATTTGTTTTGAAGTTTAAGTTTTACTAAACCCGATTTCCAACTCAACCTGACCCAACTTTTGGTGGGTTGGCTTGGCTTGGTTTTTAATGGGCACAGTCAGTCTTTAGTCATGAAAAATCACCACCTGATTATTTAAGATCGTTTTCAGATTGGGGTTGGGGGAGAAGAGGAAGTGGGTATGTTGTTACTTACAGTGACAGTTTTGCAACATGTGAGCTCAAATGTCCGGCATATGATGTCTCTATGACCACAGGGAATGCATGCAATATTGATAATGTCTTTGTGCTTTACTTGGAAACGAGCTGCATGGTTTGCCTTGTTTCCTTTGTGGCTGTGTGTACTGGTTACTTTGCTTCAGAAAAGTTATTATAATTTATTTGTATCATGTTTCTTATAAACTCAAATGATCTTCAATGTCTTTTTTCTTCTACATCTACCAAGCATGAACTAGCTTTTGCACTTTCTCACAGTATGGTTGTACTTGTATCTAACTTGTTTTATGTATTATTTATTTTTATTTATACTTGTTGGTTTC